CATACGGAATAACGGTATCCACTGCAGCGGCCGTCGGGTTAACGAATGTAATGTTTAGATTAACAAATTAATTAACTAAAATCAACAAATTAACCTTAGAATAATAATTTTAGTTGGCACATTTTAATTAAAGATGTGTTGACCGTCGCCAAAATATTCCGCGGTAGTTGTTAGAATTCAGACAACCTGACTCTGCTCCGCACTATTCTCTCGCAAATTTATTCCTCGAGCAGACGAGATTCAGAAAAGAATGACTAAAAAAATCTTTTGGAATTCCCTCCTGACGTCAGCCTCGGCAAAGGGAACGTTACTCCCGCGGAGAAGCGCCCGCGGGTGGAACGTTGCCCGCTGCGGAGGCTGACGTCGCTTCCGGCTAAAAATTCCAAACGTTTTTTTTTATTTTATTTTTTATAATAAAGTACGCGTTTTTCCGCGGGAATAACCTCCCGCGGAGGGGCGCGTACCTACAGTGTTTATGTTGTGACCTTTACGCATTCGCGTTTGAAAATAGAGTCGTGGCTAATGCAGGCAAACAGAATTAGATTGTCTTTCAAATAGCGGGATCACAACGTTTTACTTTTATTTCTAACGGTGCAAGTGGGGCTTCAGTGTAGCGCATTGCGGAATGTTAAATACTTTTCCACGAAGTAATAGAGAATTAATTGCAGAATTGACCACAAAAAATTTTTTTTCGCACCTGTGTTTGCACTTGTTTGTACTCACAATATTTTAATGAATACGGTGCTCTTTTTTAAAACAGAATTCTTCATACTTAGAGCGTATTTTATTGGCGTTCCGTATACTAGAGGGCATTTTGTGTAAGTTCGCTTCAGTTACCGTATTTTTCAGACTTCAGTCCGCAGACTGTACATATTTAAAAGTTGAAATTTTACCCAGTGTGGAATTTCTAAAACTGTTTGCCTAAGCTTTTTTTGCGTGCTTGTGTGTGCGGCACAACGTTATGTTTTAAATGAGGTTGTTTATTCCGTCATTAATGAGCACAAAAATTGAAAAAAAGTGTAGTTTTGAAACTTTCTGTTATATAGTGACTGTATTAGCCGATTAATAAGTAGATTAAAGACTAGCAAATAATCGCTTTAAAGTTTTAATAGACATCGAACCTTAACAAATAGTATGATCCAAACTGGAAACGGAAACAGTGGCTTCATTCGTGGTCCGAAGAAGCACATGGGCCCACCATTGCACTGAACGAACCTTGACGAGATAAACGAAAATCTCCCTTTCGTAAAAAAAAAAAAAAAAAAAAAAATAAAAAAAAGAAAGAACAAGAACTGAAGTGTTTTTCAGGACAACTAACCCTGTGCCTTGACAAACCTTATTCGTAAAATATCGTCTTTTTGTTTTTATCTTGCCATTGCGACCTTGGAGTTCGGAGTTTTTTTTTATAAATCTGAATTGTCAAAATTTTTACCGGCGAGTGTTTTTCGGAGTTTATCGGATTTATCTGAAAACACGGAACCCTAACTATAGCCTACCTAAAAAAGCCGTTTGAAATTGGAACAGGTTTAAACTAGAACGGTACCTGTTCAACGAGACCGGTAACCGGTTCAAACCTTCTCTTAGCCGTTTAACCCATACTCGTTTGATCAAACTGCACACCGACTGAGTCGAACAGCTCACTGGTTTGCTCAAACTGTCACCGGTTCTATCACACCGCTTTCCTGTTTGGGCGTAGCAGTATGCGAACCTGTTCACACCGCAAAGCCGCCTGTGCAAAATATCGCAGGAAAAAATATTTTAACATCAATTAGCCCATATGGACTTTATATTTATACACTTTGTGCGGACCATAATCCGGGATCTATGGTATTCATTTGCCCCTACGACGCTTGTGTAGGTCTTTCTGTCCAATATGTGGTGTAGTTTCTGCAAATTCTTGGGAAAGTCGAATAAAGCTTGCACAAATTGCCCGTTTCTTTACTAGCCTTTTGCTATCAGCTTTCAGAAAATGGAGCACGAAGGAACTTGAAGCATACTTGGTTTTCAGGTACTCGCGCAGGGAAGATACGAATAAACGACAGAACTAAGACAATGACAAGTCCTCGTGCAAAGAGCAATTTGTTTCAGACGTTTGCTGATAAAACTTGCTGCTGCAGGCGGAAGCGCGTGCAGTGTGTGTAACCATAAATTCAGCATGTACCTTGTAGTTGAAGTTTTTTTACCGTCATCATAAGGCAATTCAGCTCATACAACCAACCTAAATGTCAGGTAAAATTAATTTTGGCAAATAATTAGAGGAGAGAAGTAGAAATCACGAACGCCTCCGGCATTATAGACCAATCTCACTAAGCGTTCCACACATGTGTTACGCCGCCAACTGAAGTTCACAGGGGACACTTGCCAGTGCACAATACAGCTCATGCTCTGCTCGCGCAGACCTCCCGTGCGGTTAGACTCCCCAAGATGCATGCCGGCAGCGGTGGCACCATGGAGGTAGCTGGTCAGATCGGTCTATTCCATTTGAAAGTCCTGTGATACAAGGGAATTCGTACATCTGTCACACAAGTTATTTTGTAGAAAACATTTAAAACCCTCTTTTGCATTGTGTACTGGAGCTAACCGCGCACACTGTTTCCCGTTGGTGTGGAAAGAATATTACAGGATTTTGTTTTGATGTTTTTTTACCTCTGATTTTAAAACATTCGCATTGAAGCTTTGAATGTTAATAGTTGTGTGCTGTACTCTCTGTAAGCTGTTCTACTTACTCCTTCTCGCACCATTCTTTCTATTGAAGTTCTCGTCTGGTGACCTAAACTCGTCGGAAAATGCAATGTAGCTAAGGCAATTCCTTAAGCTCAACACTGAGGAGCCTCCGGGCGTTAGCTTTAATGTCGCCAGAATGGCAATCCTGGGTCCCAGCCCCGTGCTCTTGAAAGCCGTGAACCAGGTTACACAGTGTCCTTCCCACCAGTTGATACAGAACAGTTTGAACTTTGAACTTTATTACAACAAATTGACGCTGAGGACCGGACAAAAAGCTTCCTATAGAAAGCTTGACTAGGCCCGTTGTCCCTGCACGTACAAAAAACGATACAACAGTAAAATAAAACAGCTAAGCAAAATATCCGCTCAAATTAGCGCACAGATAAAATACAGTGCAGTCCCACGGAACGTCTTTTTCGTTCCGGTAATCCGCGTTCCGCCATGTTGATGAACAGCGTCCGCCACTTTCGCCGTTTGTTTACGCGCAGACGTGGCGTCGTTTTTGGCGTTGGTGAAACGCTGCAGCCTGAAGATTCAGTGGATCCATTGTCGACAGAGCTAAGTAAGTACGATTGTTGACTATTTGGATTGAATAAAACCAAGTTTATTTTGATTTGCTTTCTTTCTGAGTCGTCCACGCGGCGCATCTTGGGGACTTCATGACCGCCGACGGGTGGACTTCTCGATCGCTGTATTGTCTTAAGTCGGAATAAAAATAACTATGCGTACAAATCGAGCACCAGGTATTGTGATGCTCCACTGTGTCGCTGACTACCCTGGCAACTGCAATTAATCACAGCACACCCACACACACACAAAATCGGCTGAGCTGAAAAGCACTGCCTTAGCGCATAGAAAGACATACTGCGAAAGTTCATCAACCTGGCGACCGGCTAGATTTCGAGACGGAAGTACGTAACGTGAAACCGCCTTATGCGGGCAGAAACCGATGAAGAGGAGGAGACGAGAGCGCGCGAGGACTTTAGAATGCCAGCTGTGGTTGGAATGATTATTTTGGTAGACGCATGTCTACCAAAATAATCATTTTGTCATTGTGTATTTTCGGCTCCCTGAAAGTTATCATGAACCAACTAGCCCAGATTGCCATTCTAATGGTAGACGCACATCTAGTTGCAGTTGTCTCCCATCACGGCTTCCTCCACACTCACACAGCCTGGCAGTTCGACGACGGAGCCACAGAGTGCCCGGTCGCAGATTTGGAGCGCGAGGATCTGCTACCAAAAAGCATCAAAGAGCCATTTGTTAGGGAACAAAGAGCCATTTGTTAGGGAACCTGGAGGTCAGCGCACAGCTTTTGCAGCGGCAAGGACCCGAAACACACTTGTTTGCTCGGGAGAAGTGTGTTTCGGCGTCTCGCCGCAACGGGGCGCCAGTCACGTGGCTCTCTTTTCATCCGTTGTCCTCCGCTCCACCTTTTCCATTTCGGCAGCCGCTTCTGGTAGCGATCTACCAGGCTTTGTCAGTATAGAGTAGGCTATGCTCCCATTCACTCGTCCAACGCGTTAGACTGCGAAACCCCGGTGTCCGGCGTTTGGCTTTCGCATTCGAGCCCGTTCGACGAAAGCAGCGGTAGCAAAGGCACCCCACGCGCTCTTGGCTTCTCCTACCTGCAGGTTCTGCCCACATAGTGGTATTTTGTTTCCGAGTCAACAAAATTAAAGAAGACAAGTAAACCAATTTGTATTCAGACAAAATGGAGTCATCGGAATAAGTTTAACTTCACAGATTTGCACTGAGTTCTGTGTTGATTAAAATGAATAAATTTTAATGTCTCACCTAAAAAAAAGTTATTAGCTTAAGGCCTAAAATAAAGACCACGATGTGACACTGAGCTTGATGTTTCAGCGTGCTCAAGTTGGGCTCCGTGTTGCACCAAACACATTATTATATTCTTGTCTAAGCATACGTTTGGTCTGGTTATTTATCGAGCTTCATCCTCAGATCCCAGTGATCGGTGCTAATGAGACGCGTATGGGTAGTCCAACCTGGACTTCGTAAAAACTACGTGACAAACCTCTATATTTAGTCTCTAATTCGTTTTTTTTGTTCGTACAACAGCAAGGGTGCTGTGTTTTCCGATCATTCCTAGGAGCGGTCATTGCTTTATTTCGGAAGCAAACCGTTGGTATGCCGCAAAAAAACTTATAAACAAAAATCTCTGAAACTGTTGCGGTCTTCCGTATTCCACTCAGATAAAAAAGCGTTCGTGACGTACAGAAACCATGATTTTTCTTTTCCCATTATAGCTGTGTAAAATGAAAGCTTTTATTAGAGTGCTTACATTCACATTATTTTCCTTCTGTTTTGCTACTAAGTTCAAGAAATACTACCTAAACAATGAAGAAGGTGAGTATATTTGATATATTATTATGATGAAGAACTGCGCCAATATACACAAAATTATGAGGGGTAACAATGCACTGCGATTGAATGCCTGTCAAGTTTAGTGCATAGACTTGTTCGTTCAACGTTTGTTAACTCCTGTTTTATTTTAAAGATAGAACGAAGAATCGGAATGCCACCCGACGCTTCGCTAAACACCTAAGTCTACTAATGAGACGTTGACTCTGATGTTGATCCTCAAGAGAAAGTTCATGTTAGACTTTGTTCAACGAAAAGAGCCAACACTGAGTTCCAATGCTCGAAAAATATTACATTTTTTCAGGAGCCCAATAACGAGTGAATAACCGTCGAAAAGAGATATTACATTTTCAGCATGTTGGGGTATGCGAGTCATGTGCACTGTCCGTTCTGTCAATTCTGCCAAGCAATGGCACACATTATAGAGGGCGATAACACAGTATTAGTTAATACTAATCAGAAACTGAGAAGCGTATACTCTGTATTCCTAGCCCCAACATACTTATTAGCATTGGGTGCTTAGGATCGTCTATAGAAAGTTTCGACTTTATGGCTAACTAGAATATTTAATAAACGTAATATTTCATTGTATTGTGATGGCAGGATATAATTTCAAATCGTTATAAAAAAGTCATGTTTAAAATAACAACAACGACAATAAAAACAACAACATATAAATGCTTTGCCAATACTTCACTAGGACAAAACTGAAAACCATTTTCGCGTCATACTTTAGTTCCCAAGATTTTGACTTCTGAAGGACCAAAAGCGGATTTTGGGGTTTGGGCTATCGTCACAGGTCGTGTATCTGGGAGCTTCGCCAGGCTCACATAGCAACCGCACTAAAAGAAAATTCGTACATGGTCTTAACTGTAAAAAAAAAAAAAAGCCGAATGTTTACAAAAAATAAAAAAACCTAGTATTTCGCATTTTTGGCGATAATTTACCTGGTTTGGATGATAAACTTTGTAACATTCAATATTGTGGCATGATCGAAATATCAAATGAAAGCTTAAACGAATACGTATTCAACAAGTACAATACTGTTATGGTCACATGAAGTTATTTTAGCTCAACGAAAATGCTTTGAATATGAGAGGAATATAAAATCTACTGATCTAGCGTTCATTAAAAACAATTATTTCTTTTAACGCGGCAGTGTTAAGGAGCTCCTGTCGCAGAAAAATCCGGCCTCGGTGGAGTGGCAGAAAAGCCGGCGTCGGTGGCGTGAGGCGAAAATCCTGATTGGTCAGCAGGGTCATGGTGTCACAGCCACTCCACATAACCTGGCGCCGTAAAAAAAACACACACACACAAAACAAGTAATGCATTTACCTTAAATAAAATATATTGAAGAATTTTGGCACACTAGGGTACACCTCGTCTTGAAAGTCAAAACGAGATGTACCCCGGTTGAAAGTCTTAGGGGCGTGTGCAGTTATGGGAGACGTGTGGGAGAGATTCGTATATAAACGACTGTGCCAATAAAGTTTAGTAGCTGCCTTTAAGACGTCTTGTGTGCTGCCCACTTTTTCGTCCGTCGTCTCCGGTTTTTCGAGAAGTGCGTGACATCAACCAGCTCGCCTGCCTACTCACTTTATCTTCGAAGAAATTTAGTCGGGATTCAAACCCACGACCCTTTATTTGCGCGCCAGACACACTACTGACGAGGCCATGTCCGCCGCACTTCCAGCTCACTGGGAGGAAGATCATGAGGAGCGAAGGCAATGCAAACAGATCCGATGACGCTCTCACGCTCTACTTTTAAAGGCGAAGCTTAAGAATCCTCCAAGTTTTATTTTTTTCGTACCCAGCCCTCGGCATGGTCTGAAACATCAAATAAAAATCATATGTAATATTTGGTTCGGGTATAGAAATTCGTACATTCGGAAGAGCGACATATTCAAAGTTCCATTCCATGCAAGATACAAGTTTTCGTCATTTTTATGTATATTAATTCTTGGAAACGTTTTATAGTATTTGTTGGCTTCGATTTAACACAGAAATAATTAAAGTGAAGCTGATGCGTACACGGTATGTTAAGCTGAATATTTGAAGGTTTTCTTAGAGACGACCAATTTAATAAGTTTAAACATCGAATAAATCGCAAATAAAATGGCTTGTTAAATTGTATTATGAAAATAAATGCGTATTGATACTTCCTTTCGAAAGTTTTAGGGGCCGACGGTTCTAGCTACAATTTCGATGTGCTGACGGCCCCAGCACGAAATTTTCAACTTTTTCAAACGGTGACTTCTCTTCGCATGCTAAGCCTTGTGAGGAGGCAGGCTCACTTAAGTCAAAGAGGTAGAAGCCTTAGAGCGATAAATTGGAGGCGACAAACTTCTACGTATTGGTAATCTATATAAAAAAAAGCAGTTTCTCAAAAATTATTTTGGTGTGAAAGTTATATGGCAGGTTACATAAAAAGTCTTAGTGCTCTTTCTTGTAGTAAACGTATTTGATGTACATTTGTTTTAGTGGTAGTACCCCTGACCAGATGACGATAGTTCAAGTCAGATAAGAATATTGTTACATAGAGGAGAAATGTGGCACTTGATGGATGCATTATACGATGTAGGTGTAATAAAGCAATGATACAAGCAACTTTTGAAATAATTTAATCTATGCGTTCAATCCAAGTCATATGACCTAAACGAAAAAAACTGCCAAAGTTTTCACATCTAATTTAGCGGGTTGTATTAAGCAGACACCATACATTTCCTTACAAAAATGGCATATCTAGACTTATATAAAAAACAGATATGGTTATATAACAAATTGGGCATATCTGGCCGTCATTGTTTCTATTTATTTGAATAATGCAGGCCTACTTTTGTGGGCCAAGGCATGTGAGTACATATGTGACATATATAACAGCACAGCTCTAGTTATACATGGCTTCAAAAAACAGAGTTGAAAAAAAGTAAAAGGCATATAATACAAGCGCTTCAATAAACAGATGTAACACTTGACAAATGATTAGTTGAATGGATTTAAAACTCCATCTAAGGCGTTGACAAACGAGTCGGATGTGGCACTGCCTGTAATGTTATGAGGCAGGCCATTCCAGCCTCGGACAGTACTCGGAGAAAAAGAGTAGTTAAAAATGTCTTTTTTACATTGAAACTCTCAAAGAAGATTGTCATGCTTCTGGCATGTGACTCGACTGAGATTGTACACCAGATAGTCTTCGAACTTCATTCCTATCTTATCGTGTATTAATCTATACAAATAATTCAGACGCTTCACTTTTCTGTGGGTCGATAACTGGGTTAACCCGGATAACTCATAAAGAGATGACATATACGTATGCATGCCGTATCCGTTATATATAAATCGCAGTGCTTTTTTTTGCACTCCCTCAAGTTTGTCAATCAATGACTGCGAATACGGGTCCCATAAAATGTCCGCGTATTCCAATAATGGACGAATCAATGTAGTGTACGCAACAAGCTTAGTTTCCGGGGTACAGTGTCGCAGAGTCCTTTGAAATTTCCACAGTTTATGAGACGCTTTTGCGATTCATGTTGAATAATGAACAGACCAGCTTAAAGTAGATGTGGTGGTAATGCCCAAATATTTATGAGAAGTGACATTTTCTAACGGTACTGAGTTGATAGAATACCAAAACAAGATTGGAGACTTCTTTAGTGTTACTGTCATATGCACGCATTTTTTACGTCCAAATCCATCTGCCATGCTTGACACCAGGAAAATATAGATTGTAGGCTACTGCCCAAACATAATTGATCGAAGGTGCATGACACTTTGGCGAACAAAACACAGTCGTCGGCGAAAAGACGGCACTGAATTCCGGGCTTATCTACACGCAGATCATTTATAAACACACACACAAACGAAAGGACCGAGTACCGAGCCCTGCGGTACTCATGACATGACTTTCAGATCCAGGGATTCCGCTTTCCCAACAGTCACGTACTGTCGACGGCTCGTAGGATAGGAATCAACCCAACGTAAAAGTTAATCGTTATCGAGTATCTGCTTAAGTTTGAACAGTAGTTTCCGATGTGACACCCTGTCGAAAGCTTTCGCGAAATCTAAGATGATACAATCCACTTGGCCATCGTTATCCACTGTAGCACCAAATTCATGGAATGTGTGGAGAAGCTGAGTAACTGTTGAGTAACCACGTCGGAACGCATGTTTGTCTTTTACCAAAAATTCTGCGAATTCTAAAAAAGTCGCAATGTGTTTAAAGAGAAAATGTTCAAGAACTTTGCTACATGTGCTCAGTAGCGAGACAGGTCTGTAATTCGAAACGCACTTTTTATCTCCACTTTTATGAATTGGCACAACTTTCGCTACTTTCCACTGTTTTGGCACATCGCCAGTTTTTAAGCTGCAAAAGTATACTTCACAAAGATACTACGCACTCCATTCCGCATACCTGTGAAGGAATGCGTTAGGAATCCGGTCCGGGCCGCATGACTGTTTAACGTCCAGTCGGAGGCTATGAAAAATACCACTTACTGACACTACAAAGTCGCGAATTTTACGATGGTCATGAGTAAATGATGGCATTATGGAATTATCCGTGGTATAAAAAGTAGAAAAAAAAAACGATAATCTCGCTTGCTATACTCGGTTCATCGGTGAGCCTGTTCCCGTTGTGGCCCAGTTCCTTGATAGTTAAATTTGTTTTAGTCAAATGTGCGTAAAAATTTTCTGGTGTTTTCCCTGAGGAAGTTTGCCATTTTGACGTTGTAAAAATAATACCTAGATGTGCGCACGAGTACCCGTAGTTGTTGGCGAAGGGAAGGAAGCGTACATTTTAAAATTGGTTGGTACCTTTCAATAGGGTGTATTTTACGTTTCAGGTGTCAAATATCTCGTGTAATCCGAAGACTCTGCTTCTTATTTCTTGAACGCTCCGGAACAAATCGGTCAATACACGATAAGACAACATTCTTAAAAAAAAGCCATAACTTATCAACACATACAGCATTCTGATTGCTTATCTCAGAAAACTCTTCAAATGCCTTTTCCAAGATATCGAGGATGCCAACATCATCCACCCTAGTGAAATCTCAGAACCGTTTCAGCTCTTTAGTACCGCTCGTATTTTGCCGGAAAGATAAATCACAAAAAACTATTGCATGGTCAGATATGCCCTCTACATTTGATATATTAACATTTGTGGCAATGGCCAGAAATATTAATAAAAAAGAAATGAACTACATGCTTCCTAATATTAGTTTGATAAATATTGTGATTCGTTTCAGTTTAACCGCTACACGGAGAGTAACAATATATAACAACTTGGCGTGTTGCATATCATTGTCCTGTGTAGGCCATTTTTAGGCACCCTAATATCGAAATATTTAGGACGTTTCTAGCGGAGCAGCATTTCTTGGGGCGGGATTTTTCAAATTAGTGAAGTGTTTAACATGGCGTTATTGTGCGTGAAGTCCTAAAATTCAGAATAAAATGTAAATCAAAATTCTGCATGGCCCTCTTGTTAAACCTTGAGCTGAATAAGGTTACATACACTTAATCTATTTCTACGCACGTTGTTGCTGCCTTTATGGGGGAAGGGGGCTAGCACAGACGGCCACTAAAGTGTAAAGAAAGATATTATTAAATTTACTAACGCTCAATCTTTGTCCAGCCTGTAGACTAGCAAAATACTTTATAAAATAAAAATAATTATATGTGTTTTGCTCTACCGAATCAAAAGGGCACATATGGCGGGCTTAACTGACTAAGCTAGCTCTAATGGTCTGACCAGTAATGCCTTTTTGTTGAAGCATAAAATGATGAATTAGCGCGCGATTAAGGACATGTCAGTGCAGTACATACAATAGCTAATTAACGCCATTGTGTTGTAAGCAATTTTACAACTTCTTTACTCCGAGTTCAGCGTCTTTGGTGAACTACAGATATTGTTGTAGTTGTCTCCCTTTTATTACAGTGTCTCCGATTTTTTAGCGTGATCGCTCATTAGATTGCATGTGAGCTCTCTTAATTATTGCTATAATTTCACTCTACTCGGCTGCCTTGGAAAAAAAGAAATAAAAATATGGCTTTATGAAAGAAATAGTTGCCTCTATTGAGAGTGGACATTGCCGTACAATTTGAAAACAAAATCATAATATAACAGTTGAGAAAAATAAAGATTTGTGAGGACAGTAGAAACCACGAGACGTCCTTCGTTTTTTGCGAGTTTGTTTTCAAAGTAGGGCATGCAATGAAGAGTATGTACTAGGGCTAGTTGGTAATTCATCGTGTAAGACAAAAGCGCTAAATCGACGCCTGGCAAGTTGAAGGTTGCTCACTGCGGTGTTCGTCGTGATCTATTTTTTCCGTCGTCTTTTTAGCACTTTGATGCCATACAACGTACAACGAAAGGTATAAGTGTCTTCAGCAATGTCGTAGCATCAGTTATGTACGCGAATGCCACTGTCACTAGTTAATCCGAAATATATCTTATAAATAAAAAAAAAAGAAGGAAAAAAGAAAACAGGTAAGTTAAAATTGAGATATATTTATTTTCGAAAAATAATAGTGCATATATATTTTTTTAAAGATGCTACAGAGAAGGGTATCACGATTGCCTTTCTTTTGGACGGAATGAGGCCAGAGGATGCAAATCTGAAATCTGATATTGGAGAATGGCTTGAGGGGGCTTCCGAAGTGGTAACCTGTCTTTGCATATAATAAACATACAACATAGTACAAGTGTCTGTTTTCAATATGCCAAAAACCGCTGTAATAGAAAGGTATAAGTGCTGGATTTAGAACATCATTTTGCTTCAAGTTTATATAATTACCTTATGACAGTGACCATACCTTGAGACAATGACCCCAAGGAGGTGCGTATTTACTATAACTCATGCAAATGACGTGTTCAAAATAATATGCGGCGCTCTGAACGAAATGCCCCGTCAATATCTACAGTGGCTGTTTGGAGATTCAGTTTATTTACAGAAGTTCCTCAATTTATGTCTCATAAACAGGAGGAAACTGAGGAGTTGTTTAAACACTTGAAAGTACGCGTATGAAAGGTCATCTGCGTAAAGATTTTTCTCGGTGCTATTGGTAGAAGCGACATAATCGCCAATTCTCATATTCACTGCGCACTCTCAGAAAAAAAGGGAATATTCTTACTCCCCTTGGCCCATATAGACACCCCAAAACTTCAGTTCAAGGTACAGCCGCGCTGACATCGAACCGACGTTCCCAACTTTCACAGGTGGCTTGGCAGCCGAGTGGTACAACTTATTAAAATAGCTAATGCACGTGTTATTGACTACAAAGAGAGTAATCGGGGTTTTCTTGGCATTACTGAAAAACCTCAGTGTTTTTTTTTTGTAGTCGTTCATAGGCGCTTTAGCTGTTTAACGAGGTACATCTCACCGCTTTCAAGCCCCTCGAAAACGTTGTGGCCGTCTGCTGGACGTCAGTGCGTTGTTCGTCGAACTGAAGTTTTGGGGTGTCGTATATTGGACAAGGTATGTAATAATATAAATTTTTTGGGGGGGAGTGTACCTACGCTTCATACTGCCCTCCAATTGCAGGACAGGTAGAAAACAGAGTGGGAACCCGAAGAACTATTTAAGGTGATGTCATCCGAATGTCAGATGACCCTTACTCGCGAGTGGCTTGCTGGCTCGGAGATTCCGGCGATGACGCCACGACGCTTTAGACGGATAACTGACGACAGAAAGTTCCTCCGGATGCGTTGCGCGGTAATCGCTGCTCGTTTTGTTTTCAAGATAAAAACGGTTTACGTGTACTTTGGCCCATCTTAGGAGCGTTAATTGAATTAAGGAAGCAACAAGAGATAGACGGGCTTTTCTAACCCAATTGTTTAGAAGTGTTTTTCAGTTTCTCTTCAGATTACTATCGTCGCTTAGAAGATGTTTCTTTTATATATATATTGGATCAAAAATGTAGGAAAAGCTACCCTGAAAGTATGTCAGGGCTGTGACTTTTTGGTAGTATGAGGAAGGCTGATAAAGAGGTACCAATTTTATCCGTAGCGTTCTTGTTGAAGTGCAGACGATCGCATAAAAATGCGGTGGTCCTTGACTATACGTTTCGTTAGAACAGTCGCCCGAAAACTTGAACTTGGTTTCTGCTTCAGAATTATGTAAGGCTATGCAGTCCCATCTAGAAGGTAATGAAAATCGTGACACTCATTGGGTAAAGTGTAGAGTTGAGTCAGTTTGTTCAATGACATCGTTTCAATAACACCGCTCAGGCAGTGAGAAAGAGAAGAGAAGAGAACAAAGAGCGATGTCTCCGAACTGATGTATTCCGAAAGGTAGAGAAAGACAAGGGATTAGAAATGATACATACGCATCAGAAAAATGAGGAAAACCAGTGACACATCAGTGAGTTGTCCTAGAAAGGAAAGATGAAGAAAAAAAAAAAACACAAACGAAAATTCAAGTACAATAAAAAAAAGAAACAAAAAAAAAGATAATGGAAAAATAAAAAAGAACAAAGGGAACATAAGAGGTATCAAATACTTGGCCGGCCAAAATCAATCGTTGTAGACGTTGGCTAGGAGAGCTACTTCCTTATCACTCAAAGATAACGAGGGGTGGCTCACACATAGCTTTCAACAAAAGAAAAAAAAAAAGAAAATGTTAGCGATGTCTGAGCTGGTGTGACCCGCCCCTCGCTTTATTTGAGTGATAAGGAAGTAGCCCTCCTAGCCAACGGCTAGAACGATTAACTTTGGCGGGCATAGAATTTGATTTCTCTTCTTTTTTGTTTTTCTTACTTTCCTCCTATTTGTTTAATTTAATAGACCGATCTCACCAAGCGTTCGGCGCATGCGTGACGCCGCCATAACTTTAGTTCGCAGGAAGCAGGCAGCAGTACACAAGACGGCTCGTGCCGCCTGATGCTCCACACGCGCAGAGCTCCAGCGAGGTTGTCGCACGTGCAGAAAGACTAAAGCTCCCTCGATGCATTGCGGCAGCGGTGGCGTAGTCAAACTGGCTGGTGAGATCGGTCCATTGGGTTCCCGTTGGTGGTTTTTTTTTTCTGCTTTTTCCTCTTCCCTTCATAGCACAACTTAATCATGTATCATTGTTTTTCCTTTTTTAGGGCGCCTGTGTTTCACTTTTGACGCCTCATCTTCCTTTTTATTTCACAACATCAGCTGGGAGCAACGTTACTAGAACAACTCATTTAAGAAACTGCCATAGAGCCTGCTTTGAAAAAAGAGGCTCTGATCAGTACTCGAGCACCGAAGTAAAGGTGATCGCAATGCCGCCATTTCTCCCACAGCGGCCACTCCGGGAAATGCATGGCTGCGCATATTGGTTCAGGTCGATTCGTGCTAAATCGCGGAACGGCTGGTGGCGCCATATCGCAGTGCCATTGCGCGCAGAAGCGATATAAATCAACTTTTATGTTTTGACTCGTCGCTAAAGGGTGGCGCTGTTATCACATTTAGGTTTGTCTCAGCGGATGCGAGCGGTCCGGGTTTCAAGGGTGAGTTTCGGAATTCAGTGTTTTAGTGACGTTGGTTGGCGGTCAGCGCACTGTGTTCTCTTCTCCCTTTCTCCTTGCCTGTGCGCCATTTTACAGTGAAGCTGTTAATGGCTAGGGTTCCGTGCATTTTTCGTGTGCGTCAACAAAAACTCGGTTTACGTCCACGCTCGCATTACCCCCTTTTTGTCGTCGTTCCAAGTGCTTGCACGCCTTGCTTCCTTTCCTTCCACGGGATGGCCGTCCCGTCTCGCGTGTGTACTTTCCGCCGGCTGGCGGTCCCGTCGCGCGTGTCTAGTTTCCTCCTGCTCCTCGGGGCGGCAATAGTCCTCGACGTGTGTGTGCGTACCTTTCGTCACGATGACCACCGATCAAGACAATAAATGTGTTGGTACATTTGTTAAATTTCTGTGTCACGTCAGCGTCGTGTGGTAAACAGCTTCGCTGGTCATCCACCTTGACAAAGTGGAATGGCTCGTGATTTTTTTTAAATGACACTCATCGGAAAATCACAAATACAACGTTTTAAGGATTTGATCATATTAGGTTCAAAAATGAAAAGAAGAAGATACATATTTATTGCACCCAAGGCTATCTTAAACTACAAAAAAAAAGAAAGAAATAAACAAAAGTATTAGAACAAACAGCAACCACAAAACAAATGGGCTATAAAAATATTAGCAGCTTTATGGAATAGTACTGGTGAAAGCATGCGAGTCGGACATGAATGCTTAAGATCGAAAGAATAAAACACGGAGGATAAACACAGGACAATTACGTTTTTTCATTTAGCAACGACGTTTATTTAGGCGGAAAAATTGCACCCTGAACGATACCCCAACTAAGATAGGGTGATAAGGGGGAAGGCAAACTGGGAGATGGAAAAGGTGATAAAGGGGAAGGAGAAGGAGATGGAAAGCGGCAGTAATACCGTGATGGTGTGGTTACTACGGGATTTGGAAAAAGTTCCCAGTTCAGGTCTGATGAATACTTGTTCCCGTCTTGATAAGGTTACTGAGGCCGATGAAACGTTGTTTTCTGCGTTCTGGATTAGGAAGGATTCGATGATTTTGCCTCCGTAGCGATTGCGGTGTCCTCCCTTTGTCTTGGTTCCTGCGAAGTCAGGCGCGGGATCCGGATAATATGGTCCCGGATATTATGGTCCTGGACAATATGGTTCCGGAAAAAATAGCACCGGACGTTATGGTCCCCGAAAAAATGGTCCCGAGTGCTAAGCCGGCCAAAATGGTCCCAAATCATTTTCGCGGCTTTGTATTTTTTTTGCTTGCTTTTCACAGGTTTGTAGATTGCGTGTATTTATTTTTGCTAAACATTTATGACATGAGCTGTTGGTCATTTCGAAGTTCGTTTTTTAATGCTGGATCTTCACAGGTTTCGGTTATTAAATGTGATTCTCAAAAAACTTATCCTGCGAGCCGTTTGTCAATCTAGAGTTTATATTTTTTGCGCATAATTTTCACCATTCGTTCTTCGTTTCATGCGTTAAATTTGAGTTTGAACTAGTCTATCGAGAAATGCAACAGCGACTTCTAACAGTTTGCACACAGTACGTACAAGGCAGCCGTACCATGAATGACCCCCTGAACAGCGTGGGCCATATTATCAGGTTACCACATCAAGTGACGCTTCAAGGTCGTAGACCTTTTGTTGGAACACAATAAAACGAGCCATGTGTTCAAAAGCATGTTTATTTCCATTGCAATTTGTTAACATTGCATCAAAACATACAGTGTCTGCACGATAAATTCTCTTTATTCCCCCCTATGACGAATCGACATGTGACCAACGAGCTTGAGCCTTACCTTATAGCGGTAAACCGGAACCCACTGCCTGCAGCGGAAATGGCACCCCCCCCCCCCCCCCTCGGTTGCCGCCATCTTGCCTGTTTGCCACATTAGTGATCACGTGACGTTAAGATGGCTGCGCCCAAAGGTGGGCCAGATCAGATTGGCCAGATCGCGCTCAGCAGATGGGCATTCTGGGGCTGCGTTCGAATCTTACTCAAATGGTGCCGAGTTATTCCGGCGGATCAAGTCACGTGACGAGATAGATGCAGCAACGCTGGACGCGGTTAGGTTTTCGAACGCAACGGGTACGAGAACTTCACCCAGCAGTGCCAGGAGTGAGATAGAAGCTGCGTTCAATTTATTTGCACCTCCGGCACCGGTGCGGAAAAGTGTGGGCGGTGTACTTCCGGTCGTATCTCAATACATATACCGGAAGTAGACTGCCCTACACTTTAAGATTCGAACGCAGCCCCAGAGTGCCCATCTGCTGACCGCGATCTGGCCAATCTAATCTGGCCCACCTCTGGGCGCAACCATCTTAACCTCACGTGATCACTAATGTGGCAAACAGGCAAGATGGCGGCAATCGGGGGGGTTCCTTTTTTGACCGCTGGTTTACCGCTCTAAGTTTACTCAAGCTCGTTGCATGTGACGAATGAGCCGCATTCCATTTCTATCACTCACCTTAAAAGTAGTCGCTGCAGATAACAGCGACATTTTAGAAAGAGCGTCAAAAGTCTCGAATAATTTACTTGGGACCATTTTGTCCAGTATTACACTCGGGACCGAATTGTCTGGGACCATATTGTCCAGGACCATAATGTTCGGGACCATTCTGTCCAGGACCATATTGTCCGGGACCATATTGACCTACACCCGTCAGGCGCGTATCCAATGCATTGTCTCGCGTGTACCGCGATCGGATAAATGGGGTTGTTAGTTCTTAAAGTAGCTTCATTTTTGTGCTCACGCAAGCGGTCATTTATACATCGCCCTGTTTGTCCTATATACTTGGCTCCGCATTTAAGGGGAGTGGAATGAACTTTTTCTGCGCTGCAGGCCCGGAAGAATGTTGCGTGTTTCTTTTTGCAAGCCGGCTTGGCTTCGTTTCGGTTGATCACGTTGCACATGCTTGCCAATTTGAATCTACTGGAAAAGACAACTTTTGTGTCATAGCGTGAAGCAATAGATCGAATACGATGGGAAGCGCTATGAATGTATGGTATGCTGGCTATCCTTCGACTGAAAGATGCTTTTGTGGTTACTTTTGGGTTCATAAGCTGGTGGAAAACGGACACAAGGCGTTCCACCGGAAATCCAAAACTCAGGAGTCATCGAGTTTGGCTCTTAACGCTATCTGTTGCCGAATGATGACAGGATTTCGTCTTAGCTGATGTGATTATCATGTTCATTATACCTATTTTTACAGACTTTGAATGAGCTCTCTCAGATCGGAGTACGGGCTTTTCTGAACGGTGCCTGAACGCTCAGTAAACGCCTTCGTTGGTTGTTTTCAATCACAGGTCTAGAAATTGGAGCCCTTCCGAGGATGAATCTTCCTTTTTAAATTTTAGTTTGCCTCCTGCCCTTCCGAACGAGGCCACGGTCACCTCGAATTTATTGGCTGAAGGTTGAATAATCAGGTAGTCATCAACGTAGCGGACTACCGTACATTCCGGGCAAGTGCTCCTGAGCTTAGCCCGGAATGTACAGTACGCTAATCCGCTACGTTGACGACCGATGACAAAAAGTTTATTCCATCCCCCTCAAATGTGGAGCTGAGTACATGGGACAAACCGGCCAATGTATAAATGACCGCCTGCGTGAGCAGAAAAATGAAGCTACTTCAAGAACCGACGACCCCATTCATCCGATCGCGGTTTACGCGAACGAATGCATTGGATGCGCGCCTGACTTGTGCAGGGACCAAGACAAAGGGAGGAGACCGCAATCGCTACGGACGCGAGATCATCTAATACTTCCTCATCCAAAACGCAGAAAACGTCGTTTCATCGGCCTCAGTACCCTTATCAAGACGGGATTAGAATTCATCAGGCCTGAACTTGAAAAATTTCGCAACTCCCCGTAATAACCACACCATCACGGTAGTTCTGCCCCTTTCCATCTTCCAGTTTCCCTTTCCTCCCCCCTTATCACCTGTTCCATCTCCCAGTTTTCCTTCCCCCTTATCAGCCTTTTCATCTCCCAGTTTGGGTTCCCCTTATCACCTTAACTTAGTTGGGGTCTCGTTCAGGGTGAAATTTGCCTGCCCAAAAAAAACGTCGTTGCTAAATGAACGAACGTGGTTGTCCTGTGCTTGTCCTTCGTGTTTTATTCTTTCAATTTTGAGCATTATGGAATAGTTATTTGGGAAATAAAAACGAGCATTGTGAAGTGTGAATTTGTTTTAGTAAGAATTTTTGGTAGAGGCATGTGTTTTTCTCGTAGTTTCCATGCTTCAACCAATAGCAAGAAAACAAAAACGGACATACACACAGACATCATCTCGAACCCGGAAAATAATCTTTATTTTCCAACCTCGACATAATTAAATCAACGATAACCTTCACCGTTCTCAATCACCTCTTTTTCTATAAAATACTAGACATTGATATAAATTATCTGCCCACTTTAACAGGTGTGTGTGTGTGTGTTTATCTTGTCTCGGGTTAAAGAATGAAAGTCAGTTACAAACTCTATAGCATATTCGCTCTTTAATTTTCATGAAGCTTTGGGAGAATTCGGAAGGCGTCTTTGTCTAGGATATCATAGACATTACCGAGAGTTTGACTGCTTACAGTTTTAATGTATATTTTCGTAATGGTATAGCATTAAAGCTTATTACTGGTCTTGGCGGTGTTCGGGTCTTTCATTATGCATATTTTAGGACCAGTAATAAAACTGATTGATCCTCAAAATGACAGGGATAATTGCGGTGAAAATATAATTATTTTAGGTGCTACATCTTAAGAGAAGATACGCTCTTTCAATTTATCGGTCCCTGTAGATTGCTATCGTTGTTGTGAGTGGTTGAATAAGATAAAATAATAAACCATGGCAATGAACGTAGTTGTATACCTTCAGTGAACGTGACTACATGGTATAAGAGGTAACAATAAAAGTAATTTGTTCGCATACCTGGCCTTTTTAAATATAAATATAAAGACCAGGACTCTAATAATTCTGGGTTTTCTTTAAAAAGTCTTAACTGAGCGAAAAAGAGTGTGATTAATTTAGGCATATACACAGCTGTGGGAAAGTTCTTGCGGAAGAGCTGTTTGCCCTCGAAAGAAAGACGAGACAGAGAATTTTTGATATAACTTTTAGTTATGTGGTTCAAATCCAATTAGAAAACAAAAACGAGAATAAGAAAAATAACTTAGTCAAATAAAAAATATATACAAAAAATATTCACTCATGACTGTATTAAAAGACCCGTTGGTAAATTAAATCACAGTCGTAGATCGCGTACAAGCGAAATAGGGCAGCGAAAGGCACTTCACCAGTTCGTATGGCGTGGTCAGCGTTGGCAGGAATGTGCAGTCGGTGGTCGTAGAACACGCAGCTTCCTTCGTCCTGGTGGCAGCCGTCTTCTGCTCTGAGGTGCCAAGGGTTCGGCCATTACGAACCGCCCTCGCGCCTCGGGATTCCGCCGAGTTTCCCAGGTTGTATGACGGTTCCAAGAAGGTTTGCCCTTGCCACCACCTTGACCTTCCACTACTCGTCCTCCTTTTTTCTTCTTCTCGTACCGATCCTACCCCAGCTTATATTTCTTTTTTTTTTTCACAGCGTTTCTCACTTGGCTTCGCTAGTCTCTTATATCAGCTCATCTGCAGCTAGGGATTTTACCCGTGCTATAAGTTGTAGCCTGTAGGTAGTGGTAGTAGTTGTGTTCAAAATAACTGCCAGAGTTGTTAGCAAGTCATTCACTTTGTGGCTGGCCAGCCATTACAGTGGCGCCACCTGAAAACGCAGACATTATAAAAGCGTTAGAATTATCGTCTTATTTATTATATTATACACTGTTTGTATTCGGTAGTGTAAAATAGTGCTGTAATTATTTAAAGTCGCATTGACAAAATAAACAGTGTTGCGAAGAGTCGACAGTGCACGCATAGAGATGCCCTAGCTCTCATACCGCAGATCTTAGGTTGGATAGATATATTGCGTCTAAAACCAAAAAACTCGGATTATCGATTACCTTATCAGATGATTCACGATTTTCAGGATATATTATTGTTTTTTTAAAGTTAAAAACATTTGATTACAAGTGAAGTAATTCTGCCACGTGAAACACACCTCGCGGAGTAGCAAACTGTATTATTACATTTTATCGGCCAATTACTAAATAAAAAACAAAGACAAAATCAGCGAACCTTAATTTATTTTTAGTGCAAGAAATTGTTATTGCATTTGTTTCATTGTAAGCATATTTCCAGGCGCAACAGGAGCTAACGAAGAACTTAAGTGTGCAAATTAAATTGGAGATAACGGATCTTACACTCGTAAGTGGTTCGGTTTTATGAATTATAGTTTCATTTCCTCACTTCTGGCGTCGTAAGTTAAAATTACCTAACACTATACTTTTTTTTTTGCTGTGTCCTTCATAGGCTCCAAAGGTCATTTCCGAGAAGATAAAAAGGCAGAAGAGCGGTGACCAAATCTACGGTCCTTCAATTTTGAAGTTCACCAAAAAGACTTATAACAAAACCCTGAACCCAGATATTATATGTGTTGTTACAAAGTGAGTACAACTCGCAGGCAATCTTTCATTTGGAGTCGTGAAACTATGATCACTTTTGAGAATTGTCATTGTAATGCCAAGTTAACGTTACCGACCAGATTTCGACTTTTAACAGGCTGAAAACGACGTGAGCCAGCACGTCAGATGAGAAGTCGATCGTTTGATGGTTTTCGCTCCACTTCTTAAAAATAAATTTACGTTGTTGTCATGGCATGGACAGAAATGAGGCATATATAAGAAATAATGAAATGCTGTCGCGCATACCTATAAGACTAAGCCACGAATACGGGTTATTTAGCACGCCCACGCAATATTTTAATTCATAATTTCTGCAAAGGAAGGAGATCGTCAAGCTTTTTGCTTGATTGATTGCTTGAAGAGATCATCAAGCTAAAGCAAATCGTCAAGCTGATTGAAAAGCTGATTTCACCAGTTTTTCAACCTTCGCCATTGCTCTGATGGGAAAGAAAGTCGTTTCTACTAAAAAGCCACAAAGCCAATTGCTATTAATTTTCCTGTGTTTATGTTCATTTAGACAATGGAATGCTAGTCAGCCTCAATGGGCGCCTGATATGTATTCCCTGTAAATGTTCAATTATTACCGTGCACTTCAACTGTTAGCCTGGTGTCTAGATAAGACTTTTTGTAAGTCCCTTTACAATTTGGCTGGCCGATCAATAAACATAATATAAAATATGCGTCTTCAACTGCTAAGGAGGATGATACTCAGCATAAGGTATCTCAAACGTTTTGTCCAGAAGCGATGAACCAACAAAAATACTATTTTTTACGAATGCATATAATATATTTAAATTCACAGGGTGCTTACTTTGAGTTAGAACATATAAAAACAAAAATGGGTGATAGTTGCGCGGATGCCCTTTTCAAGATAAATTTATCAGGTTCTGCGGAAATTAGATAAGAAGCACATGGATAAAATAATTTCCTATTTAACTAAAGTTGCTCATCAACTTTTTAGCCATTGGTTTCATGGGTCATGCTACAAATGAGCTATTGACGGAAATTGCTTATAGAAGCTAGAATAATTTAAGGAACTTGCGAAAAGTTATTAGTTACTGAGATATTCAGCGGCAAGTTTCCGGATTTTTCGTCGGATTTTAAAATTGAGCTCGAAAAGAGCTCCTGAAGCAGCGTCCAATGTAACTTGTAGAAGAGCCATATGATCGCTTCAATCCTGTCGTCACTATCTCGGCAGTGTATCGTCTGCGAATTCATCAATGACGCACTGCCAATATAATGGTGACGTGATTGGGACGACTAAGTCACTTTTCTAAGCGTGATCGAAGGCAAGCCTCGCATTTTTAAACCTCTGGAGAATTCTCGCTCGCAATTTCTAAACCGGGGAACACATTGCTGAAACTCTCGATGATTATATAAAATGCATTGCATTTTCGGAGATTATTTAAAGTATTCTACATTCTAAGAGTCATTGCCCTCAATATTACAATTGCAACATGACCATTGAGACTAATACTTAAAAAAAGTTATTTAACCTATTTTATTTATTACGCCAACTTGCCTTAACGGTTATTCCCTTATCCAATGCCCGCCGAGCCACACAAATGCATGGTGAAAAATGCACCTGTGTAACTCGAATCACTGTTTTATAAATCTGTTAGAATTAAAATTAAACACACTCAGTCTGTACAGGTTTTTGGTTTTAGGCTTTACAGGCGTGTTTCAAAAAGCCGCGAAAGTTGCTCGAATGCGACGTGTGCAGGTTAGTTATACGGTCAGGTGGAAATCATTGAGGAAGTAATCGTCAAGATTAGTAGAACAATTAACTATAGCTCGCAAAATAACTTCCTTATTACCGAAAATAAACTTATGGTTTTAATTAGAAACTTTCTGAACGACATCAAAACCATTAAAGTAGTGAAATTTAGAAACACTTTGAGCGCTTGGAATGTGCTAAAGGTGCGGATGATGCGGAAGAGTGGCGGTGAAGAAACGCGGTTGATATACCCCGACTCACACGGTGCGAGTTTTCTTGGAATTGGTATGCTGCGGCGTTAAGCCCCGCAGCATACACCATTCTTTTTCTGCCGCACGAAAGACGTAGCCACTGCCGCAAACAAAATCGCCCTATGTGAATTAGGCTTAAACGGGCTGGGACACGAACGTTAGACGGGTAAATTATTCTTGAAATGAAATGCTCATAGGCGACTTTGTATACTGGGTATTCGCGCCTCTTGCGGCCGCGGTGACAGGGGGATAAGGATACGTCCGGATCTTCTCTGTTTAGCTTGTGTTTGGGTGGGTGCGCGACGACCCTTGGTTTTCGAGCGAGCAATTGCGCGAGAGCTAAGCTCTACGAATACAACAGTGTCAGGCATTGAAGTTGTCGATGCGCACCTGCGCGATTAATGTGCCAAAAGCGAAGTTATTTCGATCATCTCGAGACGAGGGACGCCACCGACGTCCCAGAGCCTGGGTGATCGCAGGACGACGGCACTGGCAGACGGTGCTAGCCCACTTCGATGTGCTACCGACAGATGGCGCGACGCAACAAATGCGAGAATGCGGCACCTCGACCAATCATCTAAGTACAACGAGGGGCCATTACGGCACGTACAAATGCAAGGTTCACAGAGATGTGGAAAATAAACCTTAAATGCCAAGGCAAGCAAGTCAAAATATGAGAAGAGTGTGCATTACAGAGACCCGCATCACACTGAACGAAGAATAATAAACACTTTAAAGGAAAATTGTCCGCTAAAACCAAGAGCCGGCACGGCGACCTCTGCTGAAAAGCTCAGCGCGTACCTTCTGCACCTGGGTAGGTAGGTGCCCATCGCGGATGTCTTGCCGTTCGCAAAGTAGTTGAGCGTGTTTAATGACTTGCAGGTTTTAAGTAGTTTTCATGTATATGGGCCAGGCGGCTTGAATTGGTAGTCGTGTAAAGGCGCCCATGATACCTTTGGCAGATTTGTCATTTATTTGAGGAAAAATTGCTCTTTCTATTTACCCAAGAAATCAGGACGGCAAGTCGATCCCGTATAAGTAAATTTCAGTTGGCATTGCAGTTAGTCCTCCGAGGTGAGACTTAAAGTACGCGCTACTCAATGTGGGCAATCAAAAACGAGAAAAAACGATAGCCAGCCGGAAGCAACATAGTCACCCCGGAAGTTCGGACATGTTTGATTTTCTTTTCCTCCGCACACCCTCTATATACACCAAATTTAGCGATTTTTAAAGCTCTAGTAATTGAAATAAATTCACGAATCTTGATAATTTTCGTCTGGCGAACAGGCAAAAATGCCCAAATTAGTCATACCATGGTGCCAATAAACCATGTGATCGTGATGTCGAGCTCTGATGGTGTGATTCTCTTGTGCTGCGTCGGAGAGGCATCTTCTGAGATCACGGCGATCGCGGCTGAGTGCTGAATTTCCTCGACGCAACCCACAGCTGTACCCTTGGTAAGGTGCTGCAACTCTTGCCGGAATTTGGTGACAAGGGCTACGGTACTCCCGTCCTGGAGCTCGGTTACGCCTCTTACAATGCCAGTCCCTCGTCCAACGAGAAGCTGGACGCTTCCTTCTAACATTGCTACACCGTATACGTGGCTTCTTCGGTCCCGACGGGCACAAAGACACTCGCCAGCGGAGGCAGGTTTACGTGGCTGGCAAGGACTCGCACTGCAGCTAACGTCGCTTTGAGATTTTCCGCCGATGAGACAGGCTTCCGAAGCGCCAGCTTGTTCTCCAAAAGCTCGATGATGGCGCCGTATTCACACAAGAAGTCCATTCCGAGAATGGCGTCCCTCAAACAGTCTTGCCGAACGAAGAAGTTCACAGGGCAGGTTTCACCGTGAATCTCAACGCGAGCAGTGCACCTGGCGACATGTGTGATGAGGTGCCCCCCGGCGGTTCGTATTTGAGGGCCCTCCCGCGGCGTTCTCACTTTTGGCAGGCGGCGAGAGAGCGTCCCACTCAAGACTGAGTAGGTGTCCACGAGTGCTGATGCGCCGTGGCCGTCGATAATAACGTTTAGGTTGTTGGACACCGAAGCGGGAGCGTGGTTGCAATGCGCAGCGTCGGGAGAGTGGGAGCGCTCCGGCGTTCTTGGAGGCTCTTTACTTCGGTCGTCTTCGGCAACGCCACCTCCAGGCGTTGCCGCACTTAGTTTTCCGCCGGCGCAGGGGAGACAGGCTCTCTCGGGCGGGGTCGTGGCGCTGGAGGCGCTGAATGTCTGGGCGACGGTGAGCGGGATTCACGGCGGAGAGGCGATGCAGAGGATTGCGAACGTCGAAGTAACGCCTCAATGTCGTGAGGGCGTTCACCGTATACCTCGGGCGTGGGTCGTTCGGGTGGAACCCACGCAGCCCAAGTCGGCGGTAGGGGCATTCACGATAGATGTGGTTGGCTTCCCCGCAGTGGTCGCAGGGCGGGCGTTGGTCGACCGTTCGCCACAGGTCGGTCTTTCTTAGCGCAGCTTGTAATGAGCGGACGTGCGCCCGATCTTCCTGGCGTCGGGAATACTGCGCCGCTGGAGGTTCACGTCGGGGAGTCGCCACGTACGGACGCAGGGTTGGTGGTGCTCGTCGAACCATTGCGGCGTAGCTTAGAGCGGGCTCCGCTGGTGCTGCTACGGTGGCAGGAGCCTCCGGTTGGATTGCCCGCTGCACTTCTTCGCAGACAGCTTAGGCTATTGACAGCGAAGCCGGTTGGTTGGCAGCAGGCAGGAGCTTCCTGAGCTCTTCTCGGACGACGTCGCGAATTATCTCGCGAATTTCAGTCAGGCTGGAGCCGTGGTCGGATTTCGATGGCGAGGGTGCAGCTACGCCGAGATGCCGCTGGAAGTGGGTTGCCCTTGCAAGTATGGCACGCTCCATGTTCGTCGCCTCGGTGACGAATTCTCGAACGGTCGTCGGTGGGTTGCGTACGAGTCCACCGGAGATGTCGTCCTTCACGCCGCGCATCAGAATACGCAGCTTCTTTTCCTCGGTGGCCTGAGGGTCGGCGCGGGAGCTCAGG